GCAGGGGCCCGAGGAGGACATTGAGACAGGCCCTCTTACTGAACCTGAGGCTAGACCTGCAGCCAGCAAGCCCCAGTGACACTCCCCCTGCAATGCTGGGTTACAGATGCACATGCGTCCACTCCTGGCTTTTTGGATGGTTTATTTCCTGGGGATTTGAACTCAGGACCTTATGCTTTCATAGCTCATTTACCTGCTGAGTCTCCCAAAGTCCTGTTAATCCTCTTCATGTCTCTCTAATGTGCCTCATGTCTTTGAAATCCTCATGTTCAGCCTGCACTTTCTAGATGGACTGGAGCGAGGCTCTGTGCGATTGCCTGTGACATCACAGAGGCTGGACCAGGTGCTCCGACTCAATGACCAAGACTGGCCTGGGTCCCTGTTCCTCTTCTTCCTTCCTCTCTTCCTGGAGTGGACCTTGTGCACCAAGAGCTCTGCCCACTTTTTCTCCAGCCCCCACCCCCTGGCTCCCAGCATGATAATGTCTTGTGTGCCTAACATGTGATTTCTGGGAGACACTTCAAAGGCTGGTGCCTGGCGCTATGGCTCTGGCTCTTCTGTTCTCTGGCCCGGGGCTCCCCTCTGCAGAAGAAAGCCCTCACCCCATACTGCTGCACAGCTGTGGAGAGGAGATCCTCCGGAAGAGTGTGTGTGCTGTGCGGTTCCCAAATCCCAGCTACAGGTGTGCACAAATGAAACAGACTTGTGGTTTCTGGAAGGAGACCCCAGCCATGGGTCCCGTTGGCTAAGAGTCCTCCGGGTTTACCTGCTGTGTGATGTCGGTCCTATAGTACTGGTGTCTGCCCACTGATGACCGCTGGAGAGAGTTGGTCTGACTGGCGCTGGAGACCCATTTCACAGGTGAGCAGAGGTACCAGCGGGGGCATGGCGTTCTTCTTCGGGCCCTGCTGAGAACTGGTGTTGAGGGAAGAAACGTGCCTTTGTGCCTCAGTTTACCTGTGCCCTGGGCATCGCTGAAGCTCTCGGATGCCTGTTATCGCTGTCTTTCATGCAGGGCGCTGGAGGATGGCCTGTGCTGTGGGTGGGAGCAGGCCCGCCTTGCCTGGTCGTGTAGGTGCAGAGGTAGGGCTCCTCTGTGGGGCGCATGGTGCCCGGCATGGGAAGGGCAGGAGGTGGGCCTTCCCTGGCAACGTCCTTTCCCGGAGGGCTGTTTGCCCACTTATTCTTAGCCGTGACTCATTATGGAGTCTATTTTTAGCTCTGGTTCCAAGCGTTGCCAACATGTGGTGCATGGCGACCCCTGTGGACGCTTCTGGGGGCTGGAGGAGAGCTGGGAGGCCTCTTGTATCACACCCTGTCGCCACTCGAAGCTGGGCGGCCTCTCGTATCACACCCTGTCGCCACTCGAAGCTGGGCGTGTAGCAGGGCTGGCGTGTGTGCTCCTGTGTTGCTCTCTCTGGCCGTCTCACCCTGCCTCAGTACCGTGGGTGGGGACAGTGTGTGGCCTTGGCCCCTAACTACAAGGCAGGGGTTAAAGGTCAGCGCGTAGGCTTCCCCAGGCAGCCATCGGTAGGTCCGGCTGACCTCTGGCCCCCTGCAGACAAGGGTCTCAGAGAAGGGCAGCAGGCTTCCTGCCGGGATGGAGCCGGGCAGCAGGCTTCCCGCCGGGATGAAGCTGGGCAGCCCAAGGAGGAGGCCTGAGACAGTAACAGGGATGTGCGGGTGATGCCGAGGGCTGAGACGAGGAGGATTTCTCAGCTTTCCTTTATGTCACATGACTCCTGGGGTGGGGTTCAGAAGAATCTGTTACACCAGGCACAGTGACAGTGGTGACTTTGGCACAGCAGCAGCCACGAGGGGTTAAGAGCACATAGGCTGGGCGTGTCCATTACTGCGCATGCAAGATCCAGACGCAGAACCTGGCCATAGGCACGAGTGTGCGTGGGCTGCAGCCGTGGGGCTGTGGGGGGGGGGAGCATAGCAGTGCCCCTCCCTCTTGCTTTGGAGCTGTGGAAGAGTCTGGCCTTGGGAGCCAGGGGCTGTGGCCTTGTCCTGTATGGACCCCACAGCCACGCCTCACCCATTTCCTCTGGCCAGCTGCTAGGTGAGGAGGAGCCAGAGAAAGCCGGGTCTTTAAAGTAAACAAACCAATATTAATTTATTTCTCATAGTATTACTCCTTGGAAATTTTCATACAGTGTATCTTGATCATACACGCCTCCCCTTCCCCATACTTCCCACCGCTGTGGAGGTGCCCTGTGACTATCTGGGGTGTGAGTCTCCCTTCTCCCCCTCCCTCGCGTCAGTCTGAGGGCTCCGTCTGGAAATGAGGCCCTGCTGCTTTAGTGGGCTCTGGTGGGTGACTGCCACGTGCCCGTCCTCTGATGTTCTGTGCCCTAACCCTGGCTGATGACCAACAGCGCAGACTCTTGGTGCTGTGTGTCCCTCAGTGTGGGACACAGGTGAGCTGCTGTGTGTAGACCCTTGAGCCTGGTCGAGCTGCTCTTCCACACCAGGCATCCTTGGAGGCGGTGGTCATCCTAGAACTGGCTCTTACAGGCGGGATGGCCCTGGGTAGAGAGGCCCCTACTACAGGCCGACGCCCCGTACACTTACAGACAGCCATGACATCCCAGAAGCGGTGACCTCTTCTCCTTCCTCTTCCTGCCCCCCTTCTGATTCCTGTCTCCTGCTCTGTGAACTAGCCTAACGCTACCCCAGCCCGGGATTCCAGACTCCATCGTAGCCGTCTGTGAGAATAAAGGGCTGATCTCCACAAGGCCCCACTGGCCTCAGTCTCTGTTCTCAGGAAACAGGAGCAGTCTCTCAGGGTGAAGATGGGAATGGTGCAAACACGCACGCGCGCGCACACACACACACACACACATGCACACACACACTCACACACACACACTCACACACAGTGTGCTCTGAGACACTGCACTGTGCGAGGCCTGTGACCTACTGATGTCACTTGGCTAGGGAGGCGGAGGTCCTTGGCCATCAGAAGAGCAGTGGTCATCCATCTGTGTCTGATGGGTGAAGACTGTCACTGTGACTTTTGTGTGTGACCTTCGGGGAGTGTGGGCCGAAGTCTGTGGGGCCCCACATTTGCGTGAAAGAGTGTATAAGACCTGTTGCAGGGCCCCAAGGGAGCACCAGGTGCTTCCCCGGGCTCAGGAGAATGGAAAGTGACTTCAGCAGAGGGGCCTGTCCCATTTGGGCCACAGCCTGGGTATAGGTGGTTTGTCCCCGCCCCCGCCCACAGGTATACCATCCTCACTCCTCCTGATCAAACCCTGCTTATTCCTGGGGGAAGTGGCTACCTTGTCCTGTAGTCCAGTGTCCTTCCTTGTCTGTGGAGCTTCAGTTAAAGGAGATAACATGGGGGACAGGAGGTCATCAAGCCCCAGAATTCAGGCACCAGGCAATCCCTGCCCCCGATGGAAGTGGCCTGTCGAGGTCTAGTCTGGGACACTGTTGTCAACACCTGATACCAATTGAGTGGTTTTCCAGCTTGAGACCTGCCAGGGAGGGGAGCGGGCAGCTGAACCTGCCCACCGCCTGCCTGACACCCTGGCTGCAGCCAGCTGGTGACTCATTCCCCCAGGGAGAGCACCAGCAAGTCTCCTGGGGCACCCTAAGGGTATCTGTACAGCTGGATGACCAGAAGTCCTGGGCACCTCAGAAAATGTGTGCAGACAGAGTCCACATCTGGGCAAGCTGTAGAGGTAGCATATGGGGTCAGGACACTCTCTTGTCCCTCCACCCTCTCTCTGACTACTGAAGAGGCTGCAGTCCCAGGAATACACTGTCCCTATTATGTAAGAGGTCCACAATCCCACACAAGTGAGCAGATAGTCAGCGGGTAGACTCAGGAGTCCCTGTTCCTAGTGCCTGTCCCCGGCCCGTCCCTTCTCCTCCCTGGACTGAGGGTAGGAAGGGCTTGCTCACCCCTGCAGCCCCTCCAGGCCTGCTGCCCAGGATGGGTGGGAGGCTCTCTCCCGGGATATGAATTCTTGGCCTGAGCCCAGATGCTGGCTGCCCAGCTCTGCTCTAGGGTAATGCTGGGTGCACACACAGCCCCATTGTATGCCTGGGCCTCGGCCTGCGTCATGGGCCTGGCACCAGCGCTATCAATGCCAGTGGCTCGAGTCTCTTCAGCAGCTCCCACAAGGGCCTGAGCCCTCAAACTCCGGTGAGGGCTGGGGGGCTGGTGATCAAGAGAGTCCTGGGGTGGGGCCAGGAGCACTCAGCTGCTTCACCGCTGGTCCCTGCTTCCAAGCTGAACATGTGAAATTGAATGACCCCGGCTCTTCACAGCCAAGCTGAGGAAGAGAGGCAAACTTTTTCCTGGTAAATAACTTCTGGGTTATAAAGGGAGCCTGATACATGAGGACCCAGATCCCCCGTGTGCTTCTCTCACACTCCATAGACTGGCCCTGAGCCCCTCTCAGGCCTTGGATTCACTGGGTAGCAGGGCATTCTGTCTCTAGATGCTTCTATTCTGAGAGTCTGGCCTGAGTCTCTACCTCCTCAGGTTTCTAGCCTGAAGGGGCCTCTACGGCAAAGGAGCCTGCATGGGCGGCCTAGCTCCAGGCAGGAAGGGTCCCACTACGTGCCCAAGTCTGAAGGCCAAGGGGAAGCCCCCAGACACGCCCTTTGTGGGTCCACCTTGATTTTCACCTCTGTAGTTGGACTTACTCCAGAGCCCTGTTTCCCACAGTCCACTCTCCTAGCTGCCTGTGGCACTGCGAAATCCCGGGCCTGTGCATGGGGACAGGTAGAGACGATAACTGGAAGGGGAAATGCAGGCTGGCTCCCTCCATGGTGTTCAGGCTCCTCACTCTGTACCTTTCCCAACACCCAGCCGCCACGATGCCCCAGCCCTCAGTGAATGACCATGGCAGGCATGACCCAGAGGGTGGCATCGGGTACCTGCTACCCGGATTGGGAGTTCCAAGGAAGACAAATCCAGGACAGGCCTTGGAAATCTTACACACTAACTAGAAAATTGGACAGGAGACTAGAGATTTGGGTCGGCAGTTAGAAGCACTTGTTGCTGTTGCGAGAACCCAGGTTCGATTCCTAATACTCATATGATGGCTCACAGCCAGCTCTTATTCCAGTTCTAGAGGTTCCAACACCCTCTTCTCATCCCCACAGGCTCTGGGCACTCATGTGGTCACACACATGCACACCAGCAAAAGACACATGCATAAAATGAAAGAGAATTTAGGAACTGGACAGGAACTTCTCCGTGCCTCGGTTTCTCCATTGACTTCTTTACCCCACTTCTTACTGAGAAGGTCCCGTGAAGAAGCACATCCCCAGCGAGTGGTGGAGTGATGTTTGCACGGGCCAGGGTGGGGGCAACGGCCATGCAGTCAGATCACACAGTCAGTTCAGGACCAGGGACCATGTGAGGCAGTCTGGAGAAGTGCGTGGTGCGCAGACAGGACCCGAGAGCCTGTGATGGAAGGAGAGAAGTAACTCTTGAAATTTCTCCCTGACTGCCCCGTGGTCCCCACACAAGTGAAATAAAACCATGCTGTATACACCCATCTGCCCATCCATTATATCCGCCGGTCATATATAGCTGCTTGTCTCTCCAGTTATAGATTATGTGGTCCATCTGTCCATCTATTCATCCACTTATTCATCGGCCTGTCTATGTGTCCGTTCATCGTCCACGCACATACCCACGTGCCCACTTGTTCCATCCGTCCATGAAGGACTGGTGTTCATCTCTCAAGGCTTGTTGCACACTCAGTCTTCCAGATGCCGGATTATATCCGTTACGCTTGACCCATACAGAAACTCTCCAGGATGGAGGTTATTTTCATTTCGTACACCAGGAACCTAAACTCCATTAAATGAGATGGATTAATGAAGCTCTCACAGCCAGTACGTGCGAGTCAGTCTCAGCCGGTAACTGAGATTCAACCCTGTCTGCTTCAGAACACATAGACTTTCTTTAAAAAAAGATTTAAACTTTTATTTTATATACTCCAGTGTTTGCTTGTGTGTTTGTGCACCATGTGCGAGCCTCATGCCCACAGGCCAGAAGAGGGCTTTGGGGGTCCCTGGAACTCGAGTTACAGATGCTGTGAGCGGCCGGGTAGGGGCTGGGAACAAGGCCTGGCTCCCTCTGCAAGAGCAGCCAGTGTCGTAGACTGCTGAGCGGTCTCTGCAGCTCAGTGCTCCGTCCTGAGTTCTAAACACGACGGCGGCGTTAGCAAGTGAGTGGCACACTGGGGTCCTGTAGTGTTGGAGTCCAGAGCTCTAACCAAAAGCACACTGCAGGTGGAGGGCAATCGAGGTTTCCCAGGAAGCTAATGTCACCATCGCCACCCCCAGCACGCAGGGCTCTTCTCCACATTAGCGTTTCTGCTGAGCCCAGTTCCTCTGCTCCTCCAATACAGCTCTGCCTTTCTTACCTGCCCATAGGTCAGGAAGTTCAAGGTCCACATCTGGCCACGGCTTTGGCCGCCTTTTTTCCCAGTTACTGAGTCTTACATTCTTGCTTCCCAGGTCCCCACAGGGAGGTCATCTGTCACCGGCTCATCCGCAGCTGGCCCTTCGCAGCTCTAGAGCTAGCGGCTCCGTTTCAGTCCAGATTCCTACTGGCTGACAAAAGAATGCATCTGGAAATAGTTTATTTGGGAAGTTTCCCAGGGACTACCTGGAAAAGTAGGGTCCATGAGTCCTGGAAAGGCAGGAAGCTGATAAAATGTCCATTGTGGAGGTGTGCTGTTGGCTCATTCTCATGGGGGAGGGGCGGGGAGGCGGTGGTTCAGGGGGCTTGGATCATGCTCTGAGATTACAGGGGGCTCCTGGATTTTGGCTAGGGTGTGTGTGTGGGGTCACTGGGCGGGATGCTAATGCCACACTACCTCTGGCTGCTATGGTAGTGCTTACAGGCCAGAGGTGGCTGGACCCTCAGCAGCTCCTGCTGGACTTAGCAAACTCAGCCTGGAGGTCAGCCCACCCTCTTCCCACAGCTCCCTTTGGTCTGTGTCCAAGGCGGCTCCTCCCTCTGGGTCAGTCACCATGCCACACGTCTAACAGGGATGGAGAGTCTGGAATAGGAAGCAGGTAGGATGGATCTCCCTTCGTGTTTGCTGCCTCCCTGACAGACACTGGCTGGGCCTTTCCTGAGCCTCACCAGGTGAGAGAGCCCTGGGTACTCCATTTTCACCTAGAAAGATGTGTGACCACGCCAGGTGACACATAGTCTGCAGCCAGCAGTCCCCCTTCAAAAGGAAAAATGTGATTATTATTTTGCTTGTTAAGATCAGGTCTCTCTATGTAGCTCTGGCTATCCTGGGACTCACAGTGTAGCTCAGGCTGGCCCCAAGCTCACCTCCTGACTTTAGGCAGCTGCTGTTCGTTCTTTCTCTTGCCGCCTCTTCTCCAGGCCCATCCTGCCTCTGACTGCCCATTAGTCAGCGGGGAGTGGAGCTTCTGGTGCCCCTCCCTCTCGTGCCCATCTGAACCAGAAGCGGTTTGTGAGACATGGGGTGCTGTGGGATCTGTTTTGCAAGGTCACCCCTGATCGTTCCTGGTGAAGCATCTCCCAAGTCCGCTGTCTACCCCAGCCCTGCTGCCCTTCTGCTATGCCTTCTACCTAGCTGGGCCAGCAGGGAGAGTCAAAAGGGGGAGTGGCAGGCTGGGGGTGTGGCTCAGTTAGTAGAGTGCTTGTCTAGCATGCTTGAAACTCTGGGTTCGATCCCCAGCCCCGTGTAAAACCAACCTAGAGTCTCAAGCCTGTAAGGGAGCACTCAGGATGTGGAGGTCAGAGGTCAGAAGATCAAGGTCATCCCAAGCTCTCTAGTGAGTTTGAGGCCAGTGTGGCTCCGTGAGTCACTGAGTAAGAAAGTCCCCAGCGTGAAGCTGGGGCAGGGCTGGGGCTCACCATACGACATCCCTGATGGGCTGGCCCGCCACATAGATGCTGTAGCTTTGACCTTTCTTCCTAACCGCCGCTCGCAGAATGTTTGGTCACAGCTTGCATGCCTGGGTGGTGTCAGGCTGGTGGTGTCAGGCGCGTATCTGCCACCACTGACACTCCGCTTACTAGGAGTGTCTCTTCGCGTGTCCATTGCACTGCCCCTTACTCACTGGTATAGCAGGCGGCCTGCTCGTCCCAGCTGAGCTGGCCAGGGACTGGGAGCTTCTGAGGTGGGCCTGTGCTAGATGTGGCTTTCTGGGTCTTTCTCAGGCTTGGGCTCAAGCATCTTCCATCTGAGGGGAGTCTGCTGCTGGAGCCTCTCACTCCTGTGGGAGAAATGGAACAGCTCAGAGTCCTGGAGGAGGCAGAGGGGCACGGAGATGAAGATCATTACTGGGTGTGGGATGCTTTGCCCCAAACCAACACCTGGTCAGGGTTCCTCTCTGCCACCCGGGAAGGGCAAAAGACCTGTGTTTAAGGACCGGCGAAAGGTAGAAATGGCTGCCGGGAGAAAGCCGTCCGCGTTCCTCTCAGACCTGCGTGTGGCCCCCGGGTAGAGCTGCAGGTGGCTGGGAGGGCCCTTTCACCTCAGGGGAGGAGAAGGCGGCTTTCAGGGCAAGTGTCCTCCGGCTTCCTGGTTGTCGGGCTGGAGAAGTCCGAGTGCTTCCAGGCAGTGCAGGTGTAAGGCTGACATCCTGGGACACACCCAGGTGGGCTGGCTCGCTGAGGCCAGCACCCTGACAGGGAGCTCCTCGGCCCTGGTACCCTATTGCCTCTTCCCTGGAGCCAACTCACTGTTGGGCAGGGCAGGAGAGGCGGTGTCGAGTCGGGGAGAAAAGCTGCTCCACCGAGAGTTCTGGACCACTGCTTGTGGTCGTCCGGCGGCCTGCGTCCATACAGGCCACCCTCTCCTGCCCCCGCCAGGCTGAGTCAGACTGAAAGCAGAAGCAGCCAGACACTGTGCCGGGTGAAGCGAGGCAGAACCGGCTGTGCTATTTTGGAGCCCGATTAGTTCCCCCCAGCTCGGCCACGCCTTGCTCTCAGGGCTCCCGTCCCCTGCTGGTCTTCAGCACTTTGCCTTCCTCAGGGGACAGTCTGGATGGTGCTTGGTTATCCCTGGTCTATGGAGCGCTGTTAAAAATCCCCTGTCTGGACTTTGTTGCTGGTTTCTGGGGTGCTAGTCCTTGGGCGGGTGTTGGGACAGAGCGCCCCTCCTGGTGGGAGCTGGGGAAATCTAGTGCCCCTGCGCCGCCCTACCCTACCCTGCCCATCTTTCACCACCTCTAGGCCAGCTGTCAGCTGTTACTCCTAGGGTGGGAGCTGACAAGAGAGCTTCAGGTGGGAGCCTGTCCCAGAAGTCAGTCTCAGAGGGGTGGGGGTGGGGATTTCCAGGCCCAGAGGGAAGATATTTTGGGGTCACAGGCCTTTTCAGAACCCGTGAAATCACTCTCTGAAACAGGCCTAGCTGACCCCCATAGTAAGTGCCTTTTATTAGGAATGCTAGGCCTGTTTAGGGTTCTGGCCCCACACGTCGGGGCTTCTGTGGTGCCCACATGAGCTTGGGCGTCCCACAAGTCCAGCCTGCAGAGGTGAATGAGGTCAGTGGGGTGTGGGATGGGGTGCTGATGGCGGGGTGCTGGAGGTAAGAGTTGCCACCTGTCCATGGACAGAGAGGACAAGGGCCTTTCCCGAGTCTGTGTAGCTGGAGACAGGCATGGTTGCCACTGTCCTGCGTGTGTGTGTGTGTGTGTGTGTGCGCGCGCGTGTGTATATGTGTGCGTGTGTGCGTGTATGTGTGTGTGTGTGTGTGTGTGTCTGGGTAGAGTCTTAGTGTCCTAAGGCTCCGTGTATCCGAGAGTCCTGGGTCTCAGAGCTGTCCTGTCTTGGGGGAGCAGAGACGGGTTGGTGTGCGTGTGACGGGTATCTGTGGGTGCAGTGGTCTTTGCAGCAGTGGGTGTTCCTCATGCACTTTGCCCTGACCGAGGCCCCTACCGTCTCAGCTTCCTTTCTGCTATCCCATAAGCACTGAACGTGGGCGCCGCATGCGCGGGGCCCAGCTGCCGAGGAAGCAGCCAGCCGCCCACACTCCGGCCTGCACTTTGGCTCCTGGGCTGTTTGCTCAAGTTCACTGTGGAGATTATTTCTGTCTTGTATCCCTCTAGGGCCGGGACCACCCTGGTCTCTCATCCTTGTCACCAGTTTTCACTCTTGGTATCAGGTGACCAAATCCTCAGAGGTCAATGTGTAAAGTCTCTTTGTTTACTTTTCCATAGATCTGGGAGACTTGTTAGAGTACATCTTCAGTCTCTGGCAGTCTGGGCTAAGCCCTGAGGCTTGCCTTTCTAACCAGCACTCAGGAGTGTGACACCTGTGGATCGTGTGTGGTGTGGTGTGGTGTGTGTGTGTGTGTGTGTGTGTGTGTGTGTGTGTGTGTGCATGTGTGTGTGTTTGAGAGAGGATTTCAAGTAGCCCAGGCACCCTCAGACTAACCCTGAATCTGAGAATGACCTTGAATTCCCGATCATCCTCCCTCTACTTCCCAGGGCAGGCACCATCACCCCATCAGATCACGTGTTAAGGGGTTAGGACATACAGGCTCCTACCTAGATCTAAACTGTGGTTGGTGGTCAGGCAGGGAGGTGACACACTCACATCCCTCCCCTTTGAGCCAGGCACATCACCCGCTTCAAGGAAGACAGCATCTCTGCCAACTGTTTACAGATAGGGAGACTGAGGCTCCAAGCGGTTGTGTGCCTGCCTGCCTGCCTGCCTGCCCGCCCGCCCGTCCTCCCTCCCACTTGCCCTCACACAGCTGCTGAGAGGCAGAGCCCGATGTGACTTCAGCTTTGAAGGACTCTGAGCTCATGTACACTGCTGAACCTCGGGGCTCAGGTAGACCCCACTGCATCTGAGGCCGGGGTTTCATGCAGCTCTCAGGGACTGCAGTGCAGGGGTGATCCTTGGAGGCTGTGAGTGCAGCAACTGCCTCTGAAGGGAAGGAGGGACGGAGTGGAGCGCAGTTCCGGGTAGGGCTGGTGTCCTGGTGTCCTATCTACCCACTTCCTTGTGCGCTTCCCAAACAAACTTCTGGGTGGAGTGCGCTTGCGGGTATGTGGGTTCAGAGAGCAAGCTAGTGCTCCCTTGCCTGCCTGCTGTGTGGCCTCAGGCACGTCATCCGCCCCTCTCTGTTGCCTCTTCTGTAAAGGGGGATGCATTAGTGCCTCTAGAGGATCAAGTCGGCGGTACGACAGCTAGGAATGACACTTTAGGTATCTCTAGCTCTCAATGGGGGAAATGAATGAGTTGCACAGGCAGCGTGTGCCTTGGAGCTGTGTCTGTTCAGAGGCGTTACCTCCTTCCTCTCTCCTCCCCACCCCATGCCTTGTTTATTTGTTATTACTTGGCAGAACCTGGCTGTTGCAGTTAAGACAGATTGAGGAAGTAGTTTCTCACAGCCACAAGCGGGGTGCGGGGTGGGGGCAGCAGAGGCTGGGATGAGGGGACAGACACCCTTCCTAGCCCAGGAGCCAGGCCAGGGGTGACAGTAGCTCAGGAAGGTAGAGGGAGGCCTGGGTACAGAGTTAGGCCTTGGACCCAGAGCCAGAAACTGCTATGGATTTGACCAGGAGAGCTTCCAGCCCCAAGAAAGGGTCCTCAGAGGTTGGGGTGGGGCAGGCAGTGTGGTTCCTGAGGCCTTTACAGTTGTGGAGAAGGGCTTCTAGAGACTGGAAGGCAGCCCTGGTTCTTCCCACCTAGACCCCGCACCATGTACACAAGACCTAGCCTTGTATACATACATCCGTGCTGCCAGAGTCTTCTCGTCGCCAGACTAGGCCGGAAGGCGTCTGTGAGGAGCCATTAGCCTCCTACGGGGAGTGAGGCCCGGAGAGCAGCGTCACAGGCAGAAGTCTCGCCCATTGCACACCTTTCACCCTCTGGCCTGGGTAATCATGGCTAGAGCCCTTAACTTGTGAACACGGCTGCTTCTTCACTGCAGGGCGGCACAGGTGGCTGAGTTGGCACAGGAACTTGGGGTCCTGGTCTCGGAGTCCCCCATCTGCCTTCAGGCCCCATTCTGGTTTGAAAAAGCTGGCTGAGAGCTAGACTTCCCTGCCCTCTCCCACCAGGCTCCTGTCCTACATTGGGCATCAGTTCTCTGACTCATGTAATTACATTCTGTCTGACAGCCTGACGCGCTTCCCCAGGCACTATTGCCTGCGTGAGATGGCCCCTGAGGCTCCTGGCTGTGTATCTTCTTGGCCAGAAGGTGGGCTTCAGTCTGATAGCCTGTACGAGAGCCAAAGGGGTGGTGCCCAGACCATTATAGGGGCTGTCTGGGGACATGTGGGGATAGGTGGGCAGGACTGGGGTGCATGAACAGCAGTACCCTGTTCTCCTGGCGGCGGCACACTCTGTGGGAGGCCTGAGCTGTAGACTCTGCCCCCCCCCGCAGTGTGACATCCCACAGGCCACTCTCCCTTTTGAGCTTCAGTTTCCTCTTTTGCTGGTGTTGCTGTCTGTGTCATGAGGTGTTTGTGGGGTGTACACAAGGCCTGGTGTGGGCCACGTGTCAACTGTGGTGCCCGGCATACGGTGGGGACTCAGAAGTGATCACAGAGCGGGGTGGGGGGGTCTGTGAGCACATGGGGCTGCTGACAAGCTCGCCGAGAGATCTGCGTGTGTCCTGGGCGGTGTGCCGAATGGAAGGGTAGGGGCGCTCTGGAGAACGTGCAAGATGCTTTGCCGGGAGCTGTCCTGTAGGACAGCTGGGGGTCTGACGGGTGACCAAGAAACAAACGGACCAGACAGTGGACACAGGCCGGGGACCCTTGAGTGCATGACAGCCGGAGGTGCAGAGGTGGCTCAGACCTCGGTCCCACTGCAGCCAGGGACAGGAGCGAGGGAGAGGGGCTGGGGTCAGATATAGGTGAGCATGCAGAGAGACAGGTGTGTGTGTGTGGAGGTTGAGTCAGAACCCAAGGGCTTTTCTGATGCCCCCTCCCCACCCCTGCCTCGGCTACACACCCTGACCCTGCCTCTCCAGTCTGTCCCGCTTTCGGTGACTCTCCCTGCACAGGGGTCCAGCTGGTCCCGAGGGTCAGAAGAGGTCTCTCTGGTCTGGGGTTCCTTTGAGGCCGTCCCCTGCTGCCCGGTTGCTCAGGTTGCCCCAGACTCACAGGCTGGTCAGGCAGGGGTGCCGGCTCCCACCCTTTCCTGTGGCCTGAGCGGGGCCTGGGGTTGATGAACCGTGAGAACTGAAGGCTACCACAGGCTGATCAGAACCCACGCCATGTTTCCCCTCCCTCCCTTCCACCTCCTGTGCCTCTGCTCGGGTTGGGAAACCAGCCCTGGCCAGGCCTGGGATCACTGTTCTAGAAACTCAGCTACTCAGGAGGCTGAGGCAGAGGATCAACTAGGGAGATCATGTTGCAAAATTAAAAAGTAGAAAGAAGCCTGAGGCTACAGCTCAGTGGCAAAGCCCTTGTGTGGGAGTGTGGGAGACCCTGGGTTCAGTTCCCTGCACTTCAAAAACAAAACAAAACAAAACAGCATAGGAGAGACGGCTCAGAGGATAAAGTCCTTTCCTCCTCTCAAACTCCAAGACCCAGAGTTTGGATCCTGAACTCCTGCAAATGCAGTGACCGCCTGTAATTCCAACACCTGGAATAGACAGAAACAGGATCCTCGGAGCAAGCTGGCTAGCTAGACTCACCCATGTCAGTGAGCTCTGAGTTCAACTGAGAGACCTTGCCTCAATGAATAAGGTGAAGAGAGAATGAGGAAGACCCCTGATGTCAACCTCTTGTCTGTATACACATGCACAACACATACACACCATACTCATACACATGCACACCACACACACGTGCACACACATGTGCACACACACATGCACACTGCAGATTCACACACATTCACACCACACATCCACACACGCACACCACATACTCATGCACAGGAACACACACATGCACATCATATACACACACCACACACACACGTTAAAAGAGAAGAACAAAGACAAGCCCCTGACTACCCGGCCTCTGGCCCCAGCATGGTCCCCACACGCGTCCCGTGTTGTCACTCTGTGTGTCTTGGGATGGGTTTACCTTTGCGACACTGATGTTAATTCAGGTCACTCTATTTTTGGACCTACAGTTATCACCTGTAAGGGTCAGGCAGGCCTCTGCTAAGTGTCTCCACTTAGC